ATCTCTGGATAAATCAACAAATAAGTGATCTGTGGTGGAATTACTATGGTTGTCATAGTATCAACAATGCTCAGATATTGATAGGCATTGTTGCTACAATTAATATTGAATGTTTAATATCTTTTTATTTATCACTTTTAGACATTAAAAGTTTATTTTTGTAATAAGAGTTTTCTTCTAAAATAAAGCAATTTGAGCTATTTTCAATCCAATTTTGCTCGATTTTAATACAGAATTAATTAGACAGACAATTTATCAGTCTATTAGAAGCAAAAATAAAAAATAGAGTGTTCCATTTAATTTTTTTAAGTTATTTAACTTTTAATAAACTTCTTAATTTATTAATCTTTACAAATGCAAAACACTAAAAAATTGCTACAGCTTCAAATTCTGTACTTTCTTTTTCGCAGGAATAAGAAAAAAATTGTTCTAGGTGTCTGAGTTTTTGTGTAATAAATTTTTAAAAAGTGCATGTGCAAAGAAAAACGTGTTATTTCTAAAAGTAAGCGAAATCGACTAATAATAGTTTAGCCTAAAAACATTGTTTTAAAAGGCTACATCCCAAAATGCCCAGAAACATACGGTGTTTAATTTAAAAACACAAGTTCGTATCGTAACTTATTTTTGGGACATGCTGTATGGTTGAAAATAATTTTAGCTGATGCACTAGGTTAGTATTGATATATCAATGTCCTATACCTATACAGGGCTTTTATTTCAAAAGGATCCAGTCTCAATAACTTTTGACATTGAGTAAATGTATTTTCAAGCAAAAACAGGTCGATTAGGATCCAGAGGGGGAAGTTGAAAATCAACATTAGTTACATTTTAAGTTTTATCCCCTAGTCGCTAGCCCCCCTACTTTAAAATTTTAAATGGCACCCCCTACTTTTTAGAACGTTTTCGGAAAGAGAAAAAATTAGCGTATTAAATGTAAAAGAAAAACTTTTTTTGGCGATTTGTTCTTCGGTTAGGGGTGGTTTAATTTTTGAAATTTTTAGTCCTAGTAGCTTTTGATTCAACTCAATTTAATTTAAATAAAAGTAATTTTTTAATTAACTGAACTGTCAAATGGTAAATTTTCGCTGAATTGTTGACACCACCGCCTTCTTAATAAAATGTGTTAGATGACACATAATCAAAATCAAAGTTAAAGGCTACTATGACTGATTAAAATTTCTAATAATAAAACTACCCCTAACTCAAAAACGAATCGACAAAATATTTTTTTTCATTTACGATTAGATAAGCTTTTTTCCACRCCTTRCAAAAATYTTTCAAAAAGTTGGAGGGGCTCTTTAAAATTGTAAAGTAAGGGTGGTTAGTGACTAGGGGATGAAACCTAAAACGTATTTAATGTTGGTTTTGAATTCTCCCATCGCAATCCAAATCGACATATTTTTTATTTAAATTAAATTGAGTTCAATCAAAATCTATTAGGACCGAAAATTTAAAAAATAAAACCACCCCTAACTGACAAACAAATTGACAAAAAAGTTTTTCTTTGACATTTAGTGACGCTGTTTTTTTTCTCTTTCCGAAAACGTACTAAAAAGTAGGGAGTGCCATTTAAAATTTTAAAGTAGGGGTGGCTAGCGACTAGGGGATGAAACTTAAATTGTAACTAATGTTGGTTTTCAACTTCCCCCTCGGGATCCTAATCGACTTGTTTTTGCTTGAAAATACCTTTCCTCAATGTCAAAAGTTATTGAGACTGGATCCTTTTGAAATGAAAGCCTTGTATATTTAATTTTACCATTTAAAGGTCACTTATAGACTTTTTCAACTCGCTGAGACACCTTGTATGTCTGATCAAAAGGCCATACATTATGAAAACAATAGTTCTATTTCGGACAAAATACTTTGCTCATCATTTTTCTGTCACATCAAATCATGTAAACCAAGCATTAACGTCAAGTCAACATTTATGACAATTTCAAACTATTGACTTTTCTCTTGTCAAAAATGTGACACCTTTCACCGTTCGTCTCCCTTGCTTCTAAGAGACTTCCAACTTTCCCTCCTTGGAATTTTTCATTTAGTGGTTCTTTTTGCAATGATGAAAAATTAGATTAACTGTCTAATGCTTGCTTTACACTACTTATGTTATTTTTTGGTGTTTGGTCAAAATTTAATCGTGAGGAAATGCAACTTGTGGATGCAACCACAAGTACAATGGGGGACACCGAAAACTGGGCAGATGTGTCATTCGGTTGTCAAAATTTCTAAATTATACCTTAGGTACTCATAACCAAGGTGTTAATGTTTGGCATATTTGTCATTTTGACACTGACAAAGTCGAAGTTTTTGGAATCCCCAAAGTCACCGAGACATCCCGCTTTGAATAAGAGCTATTGCTTGAGATTTATTAAAAACTGTCAAAGTTAATTTGACAGATTTTTAAAATATCAATCATAATGACGGTAAAGGTGCATTTTCATTGACATTTTTTGAAATGACAAGAAAAGACTGCCCAGGATTCCGTGTCCCCAACTGTACCAGTCGGTTATTTGTATTACAAGGGAGAAAAGTGTATTTTTCCTCAGAATAAAAATTACTAAAACCGAAAGTGAAGTTAGTTGCCTAAGGCCCGTCTTACATTTTTATGTCAGTCGAATGACAAATCGTCCAAACTTCCCTGTCTGCCCAAGAAGGTTGCCTCGTAACTTGGAGTGAGAGACACTAAAGAGCGAGTAAGATGGCTATATGGTGACGTCAGTGGAGTGATGCTCGATCAAACGCAGATTACAGACTGTCAGATTTCAGATTTGTGTTATTATTATTGTGTTGCATCTTGCATTATTTACACACACCTTCTTTTATAGATCTTGTATGCTTCTAGCCTTATTCCTAATTTTATTACTCAATATCTCAAAAACTATGCATCGTAGAGTATTTTAACTTGTTGCATAGTATTCAGCGCGTAATTTTATGTTTAGAAAATCATATTTTAAGCGTTTTTACGATTTTACTAACGCTCACCTTCAAAAGCTCAAAAAAAATTGTAATTTTTTAAACTTGACCCAATAGCGTTTTATGGATTTTTTGAGTCTCTAAAGCCTATAGAAATGTAAAAAACGTTATATGGAAGGTTATTTTTTTAAATTTTTGTCGAGATTTTGGTCGATTTTTGGCACCCGGACCGCTCTATTGCCAATAGACTTATTAATAATAACCTCTTATATTTGATACCGTTGGAAAGAAAGTTTAATTTTTTATCATATACAGTGCGATCAAAAAGTCTATCTATCAAGAAAGCGTAGAAATTTAAAACGTATGTATGTGGAACATAAAATGTCACAATGACAAATGAGAAAGGTCAAAATATTTTTTATGTAAATTATGACACCGTGGTGAACGATTTTTATGAACCAACAAAATCTTATTTTAGTTTGTTTTGAGACGTTTCATAGAATAATTCAATTTAATTAGCTCAATATTTTAATTTTTATAAAATAATTTTTTGACATCTAGATAACATACGAACTGCCATGCAACATACGTCCTCAACTAGGACGCCTACTTGATAGAAAGACTTTTTGATCGAACTGTACAAAAAAGATGTTCTACGATAAATAGTTATTGAGAAACTTTTTGATAAAGTTTAAAATTTCAAAAATATAAATCCGACTATAACTTCAAAACTATTACGAATTTTGCAGTTTTCTAGACGCCAATCGATTTCCCGGAACATTTTACATAAGTTTAGGTCAAAATATTATATCATTGAGGCATAATTTTGCTGCAATTTACAAAATAAAAAAAGTAAAAGTTTGTTAACACTCCCCCCCTCTTAAAAATTAGTGTTTTTGAACATGTCTCAGATTCAACTTATTCCTATCCTATCTTATCCGAGAGATTTTGACGCGCTGATTACGAATTTTCCAATCATTTTGCGATATCTCGTCTAGTTTCGCCGTAATCGGCGTTTAAAAATTCATTTTTTTTGCGAGATATTGACTTGGTTTTGACGTTTTTCTACGAAACTGTAAGACTTGGAGCAAAAAACTAAAAACCATTAAAATCTGCATTAAATTATCTAATTGATGGCCCCAACCGGAAGTCACTCCGGGTTATGGTTCCGGGTACAAAGCCATTTTTATTTTTTTCCATAATCGGAATGTAGTGCTTATGCTTTTAGAATATAATGCTTATGCTTTTAGCCTTATTCTTATTATTATTCAATATCTTAAAAACTATGCATCGCAGAGTATTTTAACTTGTTGCATCGTGTTCAGTGCGTAATTTTACGTTAGGAAAACCATATTTTAAGTGTTCTCGACTCAAGGTAAATTGACTTTTTTTACGATTAATTACTACCGCTCACCTTCAAAAACTCAAAAAATTCAAAATTTTTGAAACTAGACCCAATGTCGTTTTCTGCATTTATTTGAGTCCTTAAGACCTCTAGAAATGTAAAAAACGTTATATGAGAGGAATTTTAAGGTTAAAAATTTTTTTGATTTTGATCGAGATTGTCGATTTTTGGCACCCGGAGCGCTTTATTGCCAAAAACTCCGAACTTATTGGTAATAACCTCTTATATTTGGTACCGTTGGAAAGATAATTTAATTTTCTATCATAAGATAATTT